TGGCAGTATCAGGAAGGTAGGCAACAAGTGCGGACTGAGCAGCGAGTGGGTGTGCTCCCCCTGACTTTTGTCCCAGGTGTGAGGCTTCTCTTGAGAGGGGAAGTGATCCTGTCCTCACCGGCACCTTGTCTCTGACCCCAGATGCTGCGCCGGCGGGTGGGGGGCACTCTGAGACGTTCAGAGAGCCAGCAAGCAGTGAAGTCCCCACCACTGCTTGTAAGTATTACCTCCTGTTCAGAACCCTGGCTCTCAGCCCTGCCTCACCTCTCCTAGTGAGTTTCTGACACCTTTGCCTCTTCTTACCCAGGAGTCACCTGATGCCACCCGGGAGTCTATGGTCAAACTCTCAGTGAGTTCCAGGGTTGGTGAGGTTGGTGTTGGGGGATCTTGCACACCCAAGCTCTCTGACTCCACCCTGCCTTTGTTACAGAGTAAGCTGAGTGCCGTGAGCTTGCGGGGAATTGGCAGTCCCAGCACAGATGCCAGTGCCAGTGATGTCCACGGCAATTTTGCCTTCGAGGGCATTGGAGATGAGGATCTGTAATCTCCACTGCTTGGATGTCGGCCCTGTACCCCAGAGGAATTGAAACTTGCCCTGTGCCTGTGTCCCCCAAGCTCGCGGGGGAGGAGGGTCTTTTCCTTCCCCGCCTTCCTACTTTCTGCTTTTCTCTTGGCCAGGGGCCTCATAACCTACTTTTCCTTGTCCCCTGGGCTGGCTGCACAAAGGATCGCCCCTTCTCTTTTCAGAGCTGGCCCTCGATGCCAAATTAGCATTTAGTATTTTGCACAAAGTCCAAGGGACCATGGCTACCTGCCTTGGGGAGGAACCACAGCTCCCCCTGGGCCACTTCTGGCTTCTTGGGGCCATGGGCCAAAGGCCAAGGGGATGGGCAGAGGTCTCTGTTTGGTGTGGCCCACTTCCCCATCATTAAACTCAGCCTGATTGCTGCCTACCTCTGGTTCCCGCTCACTGCCCCTGGTTCCCCCATCACAGCATAGACTACTATGCTAAGGGTAAGGCTAAACTGCCTGCCATTGCCAATTCAGCATAGACATGGCTTTGTTAGTGTTTCCTTTATTATAAAGCACTGAAATAAGTTAAATAAACAGGTGGGAGGCTGGGCAGTCCTCCAGCCAGGTTGTCCACAGCCCCTGGGAGCAGTGGAGGTGAATACAGGGCCCTTCTCACTGAGCTCATGAAGTGCATCAGTCAAGGCAAGGCCCCCTGGTCCATACGGCCCCCAGCCCATGGGGTTGGGCTGGTCCTTATAGTGCCTAGGTTAGTCTGTGTGGAGCCCCTGGCCAGCGGGGGAGGAAGAAGGTGGCTTCTAGTCCATCTGTATAAAACATGGGGAAGGACCTAGTTCAGGGTGAGTCTGTATGGACAGCCCGGCTGCCAGCAGTGCCCAGGGCTGGTGGGCCCCGAGAGCTCAAAACAGAGGGTGGGCTATGAGGTGGGGCCCAGCCCTCAGAGGCAGAGAGACCAGGCCCTCCTGCTCCACCATGGCCATGCACCTTCTGGTGGCGCTTGTAGTTGTCCCAGTGGCCTGTGGTATAAGCGCAGGTGGCACAGCGGAAGGGCTTCTCGCCTGTGTGCCGCAGCATGTGACGTTTGAGGTTCATGCTCTGGTTGCAGCTGTAGTTGCAAAGGCTACACCGAAAAGGTTTGTCACCAGAGTGGATGCGACCATGACGCTTGAGGTTGGCCAGATTGCCACAGGCATAGGGGCAGAGGGGGCATTTGTAGGGCTTCTCTCCTGTGTGGACGCGCTGGTGCCGTTTCAGGTTATCCAGATGAGCAGAGGCATAAGGACAGCGGGCGCAGCGGAAGGGCTTCTCACCACTGTGTGTCTTCATGTGCCGGGCCAGGTGGTTGGGATAGTGAGTGGCAAAGGGGCAGAGGCTACAGGCAAAGCCTTTGTCACTGGGGCCCTGGGGCCCCCCACTGGCACCCCCTCCAGCCTCTCCTCGCATGCAGCGCCCACACATGGCAGCTCCCAGCCGACTACCCTCACCCTCCTCCAGCTCTTGTCCACAGCCCCGGCAGGTCCAAGGGAACAGCAGCTCTGGCAGTGGTTCTGATCCAGTCCCGCAGAGGCCCTCCCCTTCACCCCGCAGCTGCCCACAGTCTGGCAGGAAACTGGCACCACCTGGTGGCACATGGAGGCTCAAATCTGGAAGGAGCAGAGCATCTGTGGGGACAAAGACCTGGGCTATGAATCCAATCCAAGCATTCCTAGGACCAGCCACCCATGTCCCAAGATCTTTGGTCCCTGGCCTCTCTTACCTTCAGGTCGCCGCGGCACCGCCCCCTCCTGCTCTGTGGGACTGGGAGGCCGGGCTGGTCGTGGAGCACAGCAGCGGAAGCCACAGGTCGGGCAGGGAGGAGTGGGGGGCCCTGCGTGGGTACGCTGATGCCGCCTCAGGTTGCCCAGGCTGCTGCAGGCAAAGGGGCAGTGGGGACAGCGGTAGGGCTTCTCGCCAGTATGGGTGCGGGTATGTCGTGTCAGGTTGACGAGCTGGGCTGAGGCGTAAGGGCAGCGGCCACAGCGGAACGGCTTCTCCCCGCTGTGTGTCTGCATGTGCCGCTTCAGGTGGCTCGAGTAGTGGGACACGAAGGTGCAGAGGCGGCATGAGTACAGTAGCCGTGGGGGCAGCAGGGGCCCCCCACCCGGCCCTCCTGCCCCACAACACGGCCCCTCACCTGTCGGCCCCCCACACAGCTGGCAGGCTGGGCCTGGCCTCTCACCCCTGGCCTCCCCTGGACCCCTGGCTGGCTCCTCAACTTCACTCTCGGCACTTAGTGCCCGGCCGCCCCCAGACTCATCGTCGCTCAGCCCATAGGGAAGCCCAGGCCTGGCCCCCAGAGAGTCTCCTGGTGAAATAGACATGAGAAGAGACATCAGCATGGGGTAGGATCAGGCTCCATACAATCCCCTTTTCACTTATGCTCTCACCACTTCCTTGGCTCCACCCTTAGCTCTGATGATCCCTTTAGTTCCTCCTAGAAATCAAGGTCTCACCTGCAGTAATTCCAGAAAATTCAACAGGAATTTTCTACCTCTTAGACTGGACTAATCTAGTGATAGAAGAATTGATCTGTATCTAGTTTCACTGAATGGGTAAGGATCAAGGGCTCACAGTGGACCACAGACTGAAATGAATCAATAATGTAATTAATTCTTGAGATAAGAAAGTAAAAATACAAAAGGCAGAGAGCCCCGAGACTTTTTCTAAACTCTATTGCTAGGGCCCCTTTTAGTAAGGAGCTGCTGTAAAATAAAACCTATCTCTGAGGCAAAATTTGGAGGGAAGTGGAGACAATGAAAGTAATGCATGTAATACCACTTGTCCGGCTGAAGAATAGATTCATATTTACATGGATCCCCTCAATGAATTTCAAAAACATCTTGCTAAGTGGATGAGTAGTGCAGCAGATTAGGGTAGGGTGATGCTAAGATCACAGGGAAGAGGGACATGGAAGGATAAAGACAGAAACTAAAAGCTCTCAATACAAAAGGAGCTTACACTGCAGGTGAAAGGGTTACATTAGACCTAAGTACTGGGTTGAATGATTTACAGAGAGTTTGCTTCCCTGAACCTCTTAAAAGTAAATACACATAAAGAGAATGAGCCTGGGAGAGGGACAGGACATTTACTTTTAATCAGTTGCCCCATGTGATTCACCCACCCTCCTATTCATATCACCTTTGACCAGGCCTCAGAACTTCACCTCAACAAAGTGATGGAAGTGATTGGACCATTAAACAAATGAAGTCACCGAGCTCAAATGTAAACTAAACCAGCCCTCAGTTCTGGCAGGAAATGGTGTTCTGTTCACCTAACCCGCCTCCTGAAGGGCTGGGGTCTCCGGCGGTCACAAATCCTTAACCAAGTCCCGAAAACCCACCTTCCGAGTCTCTCTCGAAGCCCATGAGCTGGTCACTGTTGCCGTCGCCTTCCTCCTCTTCCTCCTCAAACTCCAGATCCTGGCCTAGTAGCAAATCACTCTCCAATACCAGGGCCCCGGGTCCTTCGTCGAGGGAGTCTTCAGTAGTATCCACTGAAGAGGGGAGGGGGCTTGTGGATTCTCCCTCAGGAACCAGCCCTCGTGGACCACACTTCCCGTACTCACTGACCCACTCTGATTCCCTTGCCTCGGTGGGAAGCTAGGAATCTGGATCGCCCAACTCATCCCTCAGGAGTCGCCCTCCACCATGACCTGAGCCCACTCCACTGACCCCCACCCCCGCTCCTCTCCCCCTCAAGGCCCCTGACCCCTGACCTTTGACCCCCTCGCATTTCACGGGCTGCGGGTGGCTTTGCTTCCTTCGGGGCATCGTGACCGGCTCCAGCCCGACGCGCCTCCGGCCTGTGGCCGTCCGACCCCGCCCCTCCTATCTCAGCCCGCCTGTCCGCCCTTCCTCTCAGGGCCCGCGGGCCGCCCCCATGCAGCGGCGCGGGCCCTGGGCAGCCCTCGGCCCTGGCCCCGGCGCCCAGCTCAGGCCGCTCCCGCCGCCGCCGCCGCTTCCATTCATGGAGCCCCCTACCCCCCTACGGAGACCAGCTGGTACCTCCGTACTCGCTTCCGCTTCCGCCGCCGCAGAGCCGCACGGGACGCGTAGTCCGTGAGAATCGGCCGCGGCGGGAGCCTCCATGGCGTGACCGGGAAGTGATTGTGACGAGGCGACGAGCTAGCCAATCAGCAGTCATTGGGAGCCTGCCGGAGGCGCCCGGCCCGACTCCAGGCTTCAGGCCCGGCAGACCGGTCCCAACCCCTTCCTAGAGGAACTAGATCATTTCTGGCTCCAAGAGGGAACCAGGAGCAGTCTTGACGCCCGCCAGGTTGGCCCCCCCAGCAGCTCGCTCGGGGCTGGCCTACACACGCGCGGGACACACACGGGCACACCACGCACACACGCACACGGGGACTCTCCAGATGCTACGGATGGGGCCCAAGTCTAGGGCCACGGCAGCAGAAAAAAAAGGACACGATGCGCACGATTAGGTTTTGGCCTTTAGTCTGAAAAAGTGTTGATTGAAAGTGTACAACAGAGAGCGGGTGCAAGCGGCCGAGGGCCATGGAGCCGCCAATAAAAAAGAATGTCCTTAAATAAAGTGTTCACAGAGTAAAAACCAGAACCGCCAGTCCTTCCCTCCAACACAACAGAGTACAGGCACAGAACCGGTGATGAGCCCGAGGAGCAAAGAGGAGGCTGGGGAGGACAGCAGACGCTCCCGGGGGCTGTGTGGTGGGAGAGCCCTCTTTGGAATGGGTGGAGTGAAGCCACCCAGCTCCCCCTGCACACCTCATACCCACTGCTAAGGCTAAAGGAAAAAGACAAAACTCAGTCTCAGGTCCGGAGGGCTCAGAAAACAGTCTAGGTGGGCAGGGGTCTGGATGACTGCTAGTCCCGCTTGGCCTTCTTCTTGTCACTGTTGCCATTTTCTTCAGCCCCCTCAGTAGAAAGCACCTCCTCTAGTTTCCGCTTGCCACTCTCTGGCTGGAGCTCTGCTGTGTTTCGGGGCTTGAAGCAAATGATGATGCAGGTCATGTTGTCACACCCTGTACCATCCCCAGAAGTGTCTGGTGCCAGGCACTGATCCAGCAGCTACAAAAGGGATGGGGATAGCTCAGCCACAGGGTTTGAACACCTTTCTGGGAACCTGGAGTCCCACAAGAGGGCTGGCCAGCTGAGTCAGGGTGGTAGGAGAGGAATGGGCAAGAGGTATCACAAAACAGCCCACTTGCTAGTCCATAAGGCATAAGGCTAAGTCAGGGAAATGAGAGAAGGTGGAACTTTGTAGTCAGGGTTCAGCGTCTGTCAGCAATTAATGGTATGCTCCCAGATTGCCAACTTAGCTCAGATGAAAAGAGTAAACCCTAGCTGTGCATACCAGATACCCTCTCTTCTCCACCCTGGTACTCACCTCTTCCACAATAGATGACAATAACCGAAGCTCCCCATTTTCATCACGCTGGCTGATCTTTGATTGAATGAAGTCTACAACTTCCTGGCTGCTCATCACATTCCTGGGGTTGAGAACAACAGTCAGAATCTTCTAATCTCACCAAGGCAGAGTAGATGAGTATGGATAGAGGTGGTGGCCCAGGCCATTGTAAATACCTATGGAAACTCTCAGCTCTGCCTTAGTCTGGGTGCTCTTGACCCACCAAGAGGCCTAGGTCTGCCTAGGCTTTAATCCTAGCGATGGCCTGAGCCCTTTAAGAGAAGAAATGCTGCAGAAAGGGGAATTTAGGGCATTCTGCCAGTGCTCACCAGATGCCATCACAGGCAATGACCATGAATTCGTGGTCATCAGTGAGAGTCAGCACCTTGATGTCAGGAAGGGCTGAAATCATCTGTTCCTCGGGTGGCAGGTTCTTGTTTCTCTTATAGAAGTGGTCCCCTGGAGTAAAGGAATGATTGGTTGATGAACAATTTGGATACTTCCCACAGACTTGTGTTTGTGGCAGGTCAAACCTTGCCATTCATTTCTCTTCTTTACAAAGTTCCATAATCTAGTGGAATGGAAAACTGAGTCCTAGTTTTTCTAGTTTCAGCCCTGCCACCAGATTGCTGAACCTTAAGAGTCACTCATCAGTTTTTTTCATCATTCAACCATTACCTAAGATAGGTATAATGATACCTATACCCATCTTAGCTATTTCACAGGAACGTAAGAACAGAGGTAGATATTAAAGTGCTTTGAAAGGCACAAGTGCTAGGAAAATTAAAGTTTGCTATTAGGTCGTCTGGAACAGAGTTTCTTGGCCCTTACCAATGGCTCTGGAGAGGTTGAGGCCCCCGTTGACTCGCCCATCCATGGTGACCTTGCCACCAGCATTCTTAATGCGTGCTAGTTCTACTTCATCCTCTGGTTTGTGATCATAGGACATGTCTAAAGCTTTGCCAGCTTCGGATACCACACAGCGAGAGTCTCCTGCGTTGGCTACAATCAACTGCTTCCCTCGTATCAGGGCCACCACAGCTGTCGTACCACTGTCAGAGCCAGGCTTAAGAGGAAGAAAGGGAGCATCATGGGAGCTTCTGAACATGAGTTCCTCACTGATGTGCTCCTGACCATTCACCTATGCTTGCTTCCACTGGGACCCCCAAGAGAGCTTTAACAGGAAAAGCACAGATTTCCTCTTTTTTTTTTTTTTTTTTTTTTTTTAAGACAGAGTTTTGCTCTTAAGCCCAGGCCAGAGTGCAGTGGTGTGATCTCAGCTCACTGAAACTTCCATCTCCCGGGTTCAAGTGGTTTCTCCTGCCTCAGCCTCCCCAGTAGCTGGGATTACAGGCGCCTGCCACCACGCATGGCTAACTTTTGTATGTTTCATTAGAGATGGGATTTTGCCATGTTGGCCAGGCCGGTCTTGAACTCCTGACCTCAGGTGATCCACCCATCTTAGCCTCCAAAGTGCTGGGATTATAGGCGTGAGCCACTGCACTGGGCATATTTCCTCTTTTGAGAGACAGCGGCACATTCCCTCTCCCTTGTTTTTAGATAATTTGACCCCAAAGGCTTACCACCTCATTTCCCTTGCAGAGTAAATCCCCATGACTATGACTTCCAACCTAAAGTATTAGGGGATCCCCTGTCTCAAAATAAAAATCTGGGGTTTCACACCTGCCTTCTGGTTTTTTAAGACTCACTGCTCCCCTTCCCCACACACCTCCTCTTTGCCTTCCATCCCTGGTACCATCATCTCTTCTTCTTCATCCTCCTCCTCTTCAGCCTCCTCGGTGTCATCCTCATCTTCCTCATTCTCTGCCTCCTCACTGCTGTAGCCATCCTCTTCCTCACTGCATTCCTGCCGGAGGAAGGATCCCAGACTGCTGAGACTGGGATGATCCTCTCCCTCCCCTCCAGCACATACTCAGAATCAAGAGGCCCTGACTGAACATAAGTCCTCAAAACACCAAAAGATACAAGTATATGGTCATGAAGACTGGGGGGATGGAAAGGGCTAGCATGAGTATAACTGACATCCTGAACTGGGCTTAGCAGTCACCAGCAAAAAGCTCAGGACAAATCAAGGGCTGCCAGCCAAAAGTATCTTTCAGGCACAGTGGCCAGAAGATAAATTGTCCAGAGATGAAAACTAGCCAAGATAACAACTATATTCTTGTTCTGTCTCCAGGAGACAGACAAAAGCCAGAACTAGATCTGTTTGTTATAGTATCAACAAAGGAAGAGGTAAGAAGGCAAATGGTACCTGTAATGATGGAGTTCAATGAATTCAAGGCTAAAGCTTAGAATATAGTGGGTCTTGGGGGAGAGCTGAAAACTACAGATGGCAACCAAACAGGACCTCTCTGCTACTTCAGCATCTGCCTGCCCTCACAGGCCCTTACCTCACTGTCTTCCTCTTCCTCCTCCGCCTCATCTGACTCATCCTCACTGTCCTCAAAGAACTTGGACTTAGCAACTCGAGGCAGCTTGTCAGAGGCTGAAGAGCAGGAAGGCCCAGCCTCACCAGTGGGAATGCCAGGCTCACCAACTTGGCCTGCCTCAGTCCCACGTTCCGAATTGGAGGAAAAGCCTGTGTAGACCTTGACTGTGGGGCCATTTTCCTGTGAAGGAGTTTCCCTAGTTGAGTCCTCAGGTCCTGCCTCCCCATTGAGGCCCTGGGACCCTGGTTCCTCGCCTGTCCCAGCTCCAGATTTGCTGTGGGGAGGACCCTTGTGACAGTTCTGCCCGTAGCGTGTCAGCAGCTCTTCAATAGTCATGGTAGCCTCTTCATGCAGCAGTGCAGCCTCCTCATTGTCCACTGCAGGGAAGAGGCTAAATCAGAGCCCCCATGCCAGATGCCTCATGGGATCAGTCCCTCTCACTACCTCAACAGCCTGAGTTCTACCTTCCCCACAACCTCCCACTCCTAAGGCTCCTCTCGCTTATCAAGTCTCAGAAGAATATACCCTGGCTCCTCCTCCTCCACAGACTTCTTCTTGTTTTTGAGTTTCACCCTCTTCTTAATCAAAGCAACACTAGTTACTATATTTCCCCTCTCACATCTCATTTGTTATTGTTAAGCTGTGAAAGCCCTATTCTGGCTGAGGATCCAGGAAGCCTGAAATGGTATTACAGAATTAGGCTTAATGACTGGCTACTGGGGCTAATAACTGTTCCAGTCTTGAGGAAAAAAAAAAAAAGCACAGAAATACCAGCAGGAACCAGGAAGACTCCAAAGATAATGTATATAAAATGCTTACAGCTAAGATACCACTCAGCAAAGAGAATTCTCTCCCTCCTTTTCATAACCACATACAATGCAGGAGAACACTATCGGTTTCTTTAACGTAAGGATTCCCCAGGTCCCTAGAAGGCCATCCTATCTTAGAACTGATAAATAAGTAGTATTAAAGAATATTTCTTAAAATACTGATATCCTCTCAAACAACGGATGCCACACTCACCATCATCTTCATCAGCTACTTTTTCTTTTTCATCTTCATCCTCAGTGGGTCGCCCTGCAATCTGTGCCAGCTCTTTAATGACTTCCTCAGTGGTCAGTTTGGCATCAATAGCCAAGAAGGCATCCTCTAAAGCCTGAATATAAGCAAAATAATCTAAGACTAGTACAAAATGAATTGCCTATATACAATCCTGAGCACAAGGATGGAAAACAAATTAGAGTGTGAGCCACTACACTAAGAGACACTCACAGAAAAAAACAGTTCAGAGGCCTGGGAATAATAAGACTAGCCTAAAACGCAGCTAACAAGCTCGTTTTAGACACACAATTCTTCAAGAGTAGAGAAGCAGCAGCTCGGGGACAAAAAGAAAAGCCCAAGGGCTGGAGAACAAGGGAAAAGCCTACACAAGTGAGGAATGGAGAGTGTGAGAAGACAGACCTTCTGTAGCTTGCCTTCCTTGTAGGCCTTCTGATCTTTGATGATATCAGGAAGATATTTGGCACAGTACAAGGCAACTTCCTCCCCTAGAAGGAAAGGAAGGAAGGTCACCTGGAGCACTGCTCACCACACATAGAAAGTGATACAATATTTATATGCCATACTGGAGTGAACCCCAAGGTTTTAGGAGATAAATATCTTAGCACCCCTGCACCCTATTTGAAGGAAACTGGGGAAATTCTAACCCCAAAAATTGATTTCACCATCAGTTCTCTAAGGTATATTAATATATCTTGTCTTTTCTCACCTGTATATTTAGTTCTCCAGTGGAAAAAAGATAAAAAATCAGCTCATCTGGGTACAAATTTTTTTTTTTTTTTTTTTTTAAAGACGGGGTTTCACCATGTTGATCAGGCTGGTCTTGAACTCCCGACCTCAGGTGATCCACCCGCCTTGGCCTCCAAAGTGCTTGGATTACAGGCATGAGCCACCACGCCTGGCCCCCAAAATTTTTAAAAATAAAAAATGATAAAGAGGCTCTTTGGATTAAAACAAGGCCTGGTGAGATTATACACCAATACAGTACCTATTGGGAAAAGGGAATGACAGAATACAGAAAAACAGCACCAGTCAGGAAATGATATCGAGGGCCAGACCCTGAAAAGTAAATGAACAAGGCCCTGGAATGTCTGGAATTATGATCCTAGAATGTTACCAATATGATCTGTTAAAGTTACCTCCATGTCCATCGTAGACAGAAAACATGGCTGTCTCACTGTCCAGCTCAGGAATACAGTTGTGAGCATCCTAGGAAAGACAGCATAATTGATATGTCTTAAAGTCAAAGAATATTCTTCAGGTTATAGGGATCAATGTCATACACCTTAATCTTACTAACCTTTTCCTGGCTGGCCTATATGGCCTAGAAATAAGAAAAAAACATGGAATGATAAAATGAATACAGAGAAAGAAAAGAAGAGGGAGGCAAAGGAGAAAAGGGGAAAAAGAAAAGAAAAAAAGAGCTAGGCGTGGTGCCTCACTCCTGTAACCTCAGCACTTTGGGAGGCTGAGGCAGGTAGATCACAAGGTCAAGACAGTGAGACCATCCTGGCCAACATGGTGAAATTCCGTCTCTACTAAAAATACAAAAATTAGCTGGGTATGGTGGCACACACCTTTAGTCCCAGCTACTTGGGAGGCTGAGGCAGGAGAATCGCTTGAACCCAAGAGGCGGAGGTTGTGGTGGGCTGAGATTGCGCCACTGCACTCCAGCTTGGGCAACAGAATGAGACTCTGTCACCAAAAAAAAAAAAAAAAAGAGAGAGAGAGAGAGAAAAGGAAGAAAGAATCAGGTTACTATCTCTATAATAACCTCAACCTAGGAGCTATCTTAGTCCAGATGGCAGAATATCTGGCTGCTGGAAATAAACCTGACCCTTTTGGATCTGTGGAATCTATAAGAAAACCAGAATAAAAGTTTTTTTTTTTTTTTTAAGACTGAGTCTTGCTCTGTTGCCCAGGCTGGAGTGCAGTGGCAAGATCTTGGTTCACTGCAACTTCTGCCTCCTGGATTCAAGCAATTCTCCTGCCTCAGCCTCTTGAGTAGCTGGGATTACAGGTGTGCGCCACCATGCCTAGCTAATTTTTGTATTTTTAGTAAAGATGGGATTTCACCATGTTGGTCAGGCTTGTCTTGAACTCCTGACCATGTGATCCGCCTGCCTTGGCCTCCCAAAGTGCTAGCATTCAGGCCTGAGCCACCACGCCTAGCTCCAGGATAAAGGATGTTTAAAGTCATTTCCAGATCCATTCTTTCAATCGGTTAACTACAAGGAAGAAAATGTCACGGAAGATAGCAGAAAGACACCCAAGGGCCTTACCAACCTGAAGAGTTTCTAGAAGAATCCTAAAATAGATTTAAGGGAAAGCACTAGAAATCTGTAAAGCTATATACCTACACTTATCCAAGAAAACAAAAACACACCATCTAAACAAAGTCTTCCCCTCTTTTCTCAACGCTTAACTCACTCAAGTTACCCCCAGACTAGGCAGAAGATGGAGATACACACACACATACACATATACACACCCCTTCCCAATAAATAATCCTATTAACTACACTGTGTTTAGTATTTTTTAACTGGGATTTACAACACTCCATATAGTCAGCCTTCCTGCCTCTTATTCCCAGGTGAAACTGAGACACCATTCAACTCTAAAGGCATAGCACACCTGAAGAGAAGTATGCAATGGCCCTGCCACACCAACATTTTGGGTGGAAGGCTGAGCTTGATCAAATTCTTCTCTAAATACAAAAATTAGCTGGCTGTGGTGGCAGACATCTGTAATCCCAGCTACTAGGGGGTGGTCGGGGCTGAGGCAGGAGAACCGCTTGAACCCAGAAGGCAGAGGCTGCAGTGAGCCAAGATCACGCCACTGCACTCCAGCCTGGGGGAGAAGAGCAAAACTGTGTCTCAAAATAAAAATAAAAAATAAAATTCTGCCCCTTGAAACTAATGTTCCAGGCTAAGCCAAAGCTGAAGCAAGACTATCAGATGCAAGTAAAAGTGTGCTATGGCTTAATCTGCCCAATCTTGGAAAAGAATCCAAGCCTCTTTCAGGTACTCTCTACAGACAAAAAGGATATATAATCAACTATTTACTTTGGCTAATTACTCTTGCATGAGTTTAATTTCAATCATGCTCTCCTTGCTCTTTTAGACATTAGCATTTTAAAATTTGTAATTATATTAACTGTGAGAAAATTGGAGTGCAGTGTTTCTTCTGTTGTCCCTGAAATTAGACAATGCCTTAGTTATACAAGTCTAGAAAACAAGACTTGTACTTCTCTCTCTTCCAACTACTGCACTACTAGACACACTAGCCTCCCTTTCCTCTAGGCCAGGGCTTATCTTCCTGGACTTTCCTCTTTTCTGACCGTGTCAGCCAGCACCTTCACAGTTGCATGTATGATCGTCTGTCAATTGCCCTAGCATCCTCTATCAGTGGTTCTCAAACTTGAATGTGTATAAGAATTAATCTGTTTCGGCTGGGCGCGGTGGCTCAAGCCTGTAATTCCAGCACTTTGGGAGGCCGAGGCGGGTAGATCACGAGGTCAAGAGATCAAGACCATCCTGGTCAACAAGGTGAAACCCCGTCTCTACTGGGCATGGTGGTGCGTGCTTGTAATCCCAGCTACTCAGGAGGCTGAGACAGGAGAATTGCCTGAACCCAGGAGGCGGAGGTTGCAGTGAGCCGAGATGGCGCCATTGCACTCCAGCCTGGGTAAGAAGAGCGAAACTCCATCTCAAAAAAAAAAAATTAATCTGTTTCTCCTTTAGCTGCCTGACCGCTGCCATCATGTGAAGGAGCAGATTTACAAACTGGCCAAGAAGGGCCTGACTCCTTCACAAATCGGTGTGATCCTGAGAGATTTACATGGTGTTGCACAAGTATGTTTTGTGACAGGCAATAAAATCTTAAGAATTCTTAAGTCTAAGGGACTTGCTCCTGATCTCCCTGAAGATCTCTACCATTTAATTAAGAAAGCAGTCGCTGTTCGAAAGCATCTTGATTGGAACAGAAAGGATAAGGATGCTAAATTCCATCTGATTCTGATAGAGAGCTGGATTCAACGTTTGGCTCGGGTATTTTAAGACTAAGCGAGTCCTCCCTCCCAACTGGAAATAGGAATCATCTACAGCCTCTGCCCTGGTCACATAAATTTGTCTATGTGCTCAAGCAATAAACATGATTGTTTAACTTAAAAAAAAAAAAGAAATTAATCTGTTTCATTCATTCATTTATCAAATATTTAAGTACCCATTACATGACAGGGTGTGTTTAGGGTACCTGGGATATATTGAAAAAAAATAAAGCACTTCATAAATAAAAATCTTGCATGTCATTGGGAGATACACACAATCAACATAAAGTGCTATCTGGGGGAAAAAACAGAACAAAGTTAGAACCGGGTCAGATTCAGAAAAGTAGTGGTAGAATTAAATTGGCATGGAATACAGTAAAGGTATAGGCATGTTAACCTCTTAAGAACCTGTATCTCAGCAGTCACTACCTAAGTCATGCTGTGTCTATTTTCAGCAAAAACTATGCCACTGTAATGTTGCTTTAATCCTGTTGATTTTGTAGTTTGGTTTGCTGGCATGAAATTTATGTCCAGTTCTATGTCTGTACACATTTAAATAACATTAAAGTCATTTTACTGAGTACCAGAGTTCTACAAGTATTGCTTTCCTTGACAAAAACAAAAAACCGTGGAAGATTTTCAAGATATTTTGTGCAATAAAGAAAGCAAAGAGCAGAATGATGTAAATGGCTGCTTTTTGTGTAAGAAAGGGGAGCACAAGAATAAATTTGTCTTTTCATACTTTCTTTGTTTTGTTTTTAAACAGAGACGGGGTTTCACCATGTTAGCCAGGATGGTCTTGGCCTCCTGAAGTGCTGGATATTACAGGTGTGAGCCACTGTGTCTGGCCCCTTAAAAACTTATATTATGGAAGTAATTAGACAAAAATGCTCATACGGCATTATTTATTTATTGAGGTGGAATCTCGCTCTGTTGCCCAGGCTGGAGTGCAGTGGCACAATCTCAGCTCACTGTAACCTCCACTTCCTGGGTTCAAACAATTCTCCTGCCTCAGCCTCTCCAATAGCTGGGATTACAGGAGCACACCACCATGCCCAGCTAATTTTTGGTTTTCTTTTTTCCAGTTGAGACAGGGTTTCACCCTCTTGGCTAGGCTGTATACAGCATTATTTATAATAAAAAAGTTAAAACCGCCGGGCGCGGTGGCTCAAGCCTGTAATCCCAGCACTTTGGGAGGCCGAGGCGGGTGGATCACGAGGTCGAGAGATCGAGACCATCCTGGTCAACATGGTGAAACCCCAGCTCTACTAAAAAAAAAAAATACAAAAAAATTAGCTGGGCATGGTGGCACGTGCCTGTAATTCCAGCTACTCAGGAGGCTGAGGCAGGAGAATTGCCTGAACCCAGGAGGTGGAGGTTGCGGTGAGCCGAGATTGCGCCATTGCACTCCAGCCTGGGTAACAACAGCGAAACTCCGTCTCAAAAAAAAAAAAGTTATAACCATATAAATTTCCAGGAATATATTACAAATGGTATGTATATCCAGTGGAATACACAGCTGTTAAAAGCAAATATATGTTAATCCGGAAATGAGTTCACAAAATCTTAAGTGGTTAAAAGCAAAAAGTTGGCTGGGCGCGGTGGCTTAAGCCTGTAATCCCAGCACTTTGGGAGGCCGAGGCGGGTGGATCACGAGGTCAAGAGATCGAGGGCCAGGCGCGGTGGCTCAAGCCTGTAATCCCAGCACTTTGGGAGGCCGAGGCGGGTGGATCACAAGGTCAAGAGATCGAGACCATCCTGGTCAACATGGTGAAACCCCGTCTCTACTAAAAATACAAAACATTAGCTGGGCATGGTGGTGCGTGCCTGTAATCCCACCTACTCAGGAGGCTGAGGCAGGAGAATTGCCTGAACCCAGGAGGCGGAGGTTGCAGTGAGCCGAGATTGTGCCATTGCACTCCAGCCTGGGTACCAAGAGCGAAACTCCGTCTCAAAAAAAAAAAAAAAAAAAAAGAGATCGAGACCATCCTGGTCAACATGGTGAAACCCCGTCTCTACTAAAAATACAGAAAATTAGCTGGGCATGGTGGCGCGTGCCTGTAATCCCAGCTACTCAGGAGGCTGAGGCAGGAGAATTGCCTGAACCCAGGAGGCAGAGGTTGTGGTGAGCCGAGATCGCGCCATTGCACTCCAGCCTGGG